GTGTATGAATGAAAACGTAACTATCATATCACACCTATGAATTCATGGACAGTAGTGCTTAGGATGATACTAAAGTCATGTCAAAGACAAAACTGCAACCAGTTTAGTTTCCAGATCTCAACTGGCTGTATTGCAATTCTAGAATTGGGCAATGTTTCATTCCATAATATAGAATAAGTGTTTAGATGAGCTAAGCAGGAGTTGGCTTTATAGACAGAAGGGCTGAAGAAAGCAGAAGCAAAGAACAAAGAGTGTATCAGTCTTTGCAAAGCTGCTTTTCTTGTAAGGCAGGACAGGGAGACAGAACAATAGAGAAATAACTGAATAGTTAGCATTAGATTACTTCAAACTTTTGTGTGTGTGTGTAAGGATTAGGGAACTTCATTATCATGCCAATTAAGATTTAAACATGGAGTTTGGGAAGTTGGATGTTATCTCTTTTTCTTGGTTTCTGGGAAGGTCAGATAACAAACTTAGTTTGGGCATGAATGACTCCAGTTTGATTTTTAGTCTGGTCTCTTGGAGCCTAGTGCAGGAGCTTGGTCCAGAACCATGGCCTTCTATCATTTTTATTTAACAGTAGATATATATTTTAAAAAAGCTTTTAAGACAAATATTAGGTAAACAGTAGATGGGATGGTAAAGATGGGATACGAATGGCTGAAGTTTGTAGGTTTCAGGACTCAGTAACTCTAGTGCAGTGCCACACCTTATTTAATGAAGTCTTTGTGGTGATGGCCACAGCTGAGCAGGTCCAGATTTCAGGACTTAACGACTTGCCTTCAGAAGTCTCAGGCAAAAAAATAAAGACTTGACTATCTCAAGCAAATTGACAAATTTCTTTTTTGCATTCATGGCAAAAATACCCACAAGTAGATTTTGTAGAATGTAAAATATCATAGACATTAGTGTTGGTGGCCTTTTTTTTTTTTTTCCCCCAGTGGAAAAATTAATAATATTGTTTCCTCTTTCACCTTTAGCAGTTTCCTGGCTACCTGGATTGCTCCACAGTTCCTCATTGTTTGCTGTTGGGACGTTCCACGGTTAGAAGTAAAGTAAAGTTAGGGTCTGACTTGTTCTTTTCTTGTGGGAGAAAAACCCTAATCGCTTCTTGAACCCAAGCCAGTGCATGGATTCAAGGCTCTGTCCCATCTCAAGAGCTGACCTGTACATTACTTCTTCCTTGTGACAGTGGGACATGTGCCCTAAAATGACATTAAACATTGAGGCAGGCAGTACTTAAAATCTCATTTCACTTTGTCATATTGCTCATAATTCAACATAGTGGGGTCTTGAGAAGGAAAACGATAGAAATGTAGAAATGATACAGACTACTGTGGGAGGCACTTGCTTTTTTAGTAAAACCCAGAATAAAACGGAAATCTCTGTTAAGCAATAGAAGCCGAGAAAGCTGCTTTCAGATGTAGTTTATGGTTTTTTTTTTTTTTTTTTTTAAGCCTTAATTACCTGTAGTCCCTAGACATTTTCTCTGTATCTTAACACTGTCATCCTTCATTATCTACAGTTGGGTGTTGGTCTGTGTTTGCAAGTGATCTTGTTGAATTAACACCCTGTAAAGGGCCATGGATCTGGTATAGCTCCTTGTAATAAGTTATTTAGTGTTTCAAATTTTAGTTTTAAAAAATTGCTGTAAAGATGGTTCCAAGTGTGATAGCTCCCTGTGTCAAGTGTTACTAGTGAAGATTAGGTTAAAATAGAGCAAAATGCCGGGTGCAGTGGTTCACGCCGGTAATCCCAGCACTTTTGGGAGGCTGAGGCAGGCGGAATCATGAGGTCAAGAGTTGGAAGCCATCCTGGCCAACATTGTGAAACCACGTCTTCACTAAAAATATAAAAATTAACTGGGCATGGTGGCAGGTGCCCATAGTCCCAGCTACTCAGGGGGCTGAGACAGGAGAATTGATTCGCTTGAACCCAGGAGGCAGAGGTTGCAGAGAGCTGAGATCATGCCATTGCACTCCAGCCTGGTGACAGAGTGAGACTCTGTCTCAAAAAAAAAAAAAAAAAAAAGGCGCAAAATGGTGGCAGTGATATAGCCCAAGATTATTCTCCTACTTTGTTTTATTTATTTATTTTGAGATCGGGTCTCACTCTGTTGCCCAGGCTGAGTGCAATAGCCTAATCATGATTCACTGCAACCTCGAACTTACTTCATTTATTTAATACAAGGTTTCTACATGACTTCATAATGAGAAACTCTCAGATGTTTCCCAACTGAGGTGGGATCTGTGCTTCAATTCCTCATACTTTGTAAATTTTGATTTTGTCATTCTGTCTTGTCTCTAGAGATGTGCCATTGACAAGGGGGAAAAAGCCTTTTACTGAAGGCTGTGTTTTGCAGGATTACAAGTCTGCCTTCCCACTAAGATCTAATTGACGACACGCGCAGCAAGCATCCTTTGAGCAGATCTTGAGTTCAAACCAAGAACTCCTTGGATATAAAATTACAAGACCACCTACTTGTAGATGTCAGGTTTCTAGAACATCCCATTTCCTGTGGTGCTGAAGTTAGTCATTATATGTAGGCAATGGCTGATGAGTCTGGATATATTCTGAAAGGGGAGGGGCCGAGTTGTGACATTCACCCTTGGTCTGCAGACCAGGTTTTGCAAAGCTAGAGTGGGGCTGTTTGTTTTCTTCTCTTCTTGGGAAATTGCCATTGGATCAGTTTGTCTTGGTTAAGTAAGATCTTTTGTGGGTAGCTGAGCAGTTGGGCTTTTAAAGATGAGAGCCACATGAAAGAAGACTGTTCTTTCCCAGTCATACAAATAATTATCTCCATGGTCGTATAATCTCCATAAGAAGTATGAGCATTTGAGACCACACATTTAAAAACTTAACATATAACAGAGTCAGAAGGAAAGATGTACAACATTGTGGCAGAGGTCTTCTCATGGTAGAATAACCTTTTAGTTTATCCAGAATCTTTTCACTTCTAAAATAAAGCCCTTTTAGGATGGTAGAAACTTGAACATTCATGGTAACTTGAAGTAAAAAAATAAAAATGTTTAATTGAAGACTTAATCTTTAACTCTGACTTTAAAACTTTTCTAGTCAAAGAGCTGGAATTGCTTAATTTATCAGAGCATTTGCTTTTCCAAGTTTACAGCTCTCAACCGTTGATTGGCCTAGCAGAAAGAGATAATAAAAAGTTATGCAACAGGTAAAAATCTTTCCAGTTGCCTTTTCCCCATTTGGAAGGAAACCTGTTTTTCCTTCCCTCTGAGCAGTTTGGCCTAAGCTCCTCCCCGTTCTGATTTGCATATTTACTATTTGCATACAGTACTTCAATTGATTCATTCAACAGAAAGTTCTAAAGATCTCCAGTATTTAATACTTCTGATACAACCTGCTTAAGCAAAAGAATTTTCAATTATGATAGCAATTTAACAGAACAAACCTTTTAAAAACACACTTTTAACGTACTGAAGTTACTGAAACTCTAAAATCTGAAATGCTCTAAAATTCAGAACTTTTGATTCCTGACATGAGGCCCAAAGGAAATGTTCATTGAAGAATTTCAGATTTCAGATTTTTGTATTAGGGATGCTCTACTGGTAAGTACAATGTTAATATTCTAAAATCTGAAGTTCAGAAACCAGAACACTTCTGGTCCCAAGCATTTGGGGTAAGGGATCCTCAACCTGTACAAGATATTTTCTCGCTAAGAAGAGCCAGACTGTAATTTTCAAGTTAGAAATCTATGAGCAAAAGACTGGTGTTCTCAGACAGAATGTAGATCATTCATAGGGTACTTCTGAAACTAAAAACCAGTTTTGTAAGCTAAAAAATTTTGGCGTTCAAAATGTAATGCTTTCATGGTTGTATTCAAAGTGAACCGTATGTATTCTGAATTTTTCTGAAAGACTGACTCTAGGATTGGATACATCGTATTTCAGGAAGGAGAAATGTGTTTATATGTTGCCAGCTACTTGTTCCAGTAATTTTTAGTGCCTATTGTAGATCTTGCTCTTAAGGACCTCATCCTCTGGTTAGAACATTAGATAGAGACAATTAGAAAATGTTGTAAAACCAGTGCTATAAAAATAGCAGTGCTGGCTGAGCGCGGTGGCTCACGCCTATAATCCCAGCACTTTGGGAGGCTGAGGTGGGCGGATCACCTGAGGTCAGGAGTTCGAGACCAGCCTGACCAACATGGAGAAAACCCATCTATACTAAAAAAAAAAAAAAAAAAAAATTAGCAGATTGTGGTGGCACATACCTACAATCCCAGCTACTCGGGAGGCTGAGACAAGAGAATTGCTTGAACCCAGGACGCGGAGGTTTCGGTGAGCCGAGATTGCGCCATTGCACTCCAGCCTGGGCAACAAAAGTGAAACTCCATCTCAAAAAAAAAAAAAAAAATGCAGTGTTATAAACGAAGGTGCTGAGGGGCAGAGAGGCTCTCAGTCAGGAAGGAGTCCTGTGGAAAGTAAAATCCCAGCACAAGGCATGAAAGAGCAAGACTAGAGAAAGGAATGGGGAGGGATTCTGAGCAGTGGTAACAGTGCGCATAAGACTAGGCCGGGCACGGTGGCTCACACCTGTAATCCCAGTACTTTGGGAGGCCGAGGTGAGCGGATCACAAGGTCAGGAGTTCGAGACCAGCCTGACCAACATGGCAAAACCCCATCTCTACCAAAAATACAAAAATTAGCTGAGCGTGGTAGCATGCGCCTGTAATCCTGTCTACTTGGGAGGCTGAGGCAGGAGAATCGCTTGAACCCAGGAGGCGGAGGTTGCTGAGCCGAGATTGCACCACTGCATTCCAGCACACGTGACAGAGTGAGATTCCGTCTCAAAAAAAAAAAAATGTAAACACATTTCCCCACCTAACTGAAAGGATGCTTGGAAATTAGGGGAGCACACGAAATGTTTGGTGAGTTTCCTCTGTCTCTGTCACAGGGGTAGGGACTTGTGTAAGCTGCTTTAGTTCTGAGCTTATTTCCTCATCTGTAAAATAGGGATAGCATAGGAACCTCTGAGAGCAGCTGTGGAGAGTAAATGCTATCATGACTGTAAAATGACTAACGTTGTGTCAGGTACAATAAAGGTATTGGAGGGAACCTTCATCAAGCTTGGTTGAGATTTCCAAGCTATGGGTCATATCTCATTGGTGGGTTATAACCAACAATTAAAATGGAAAAAAAAAAAAAAAAGAAATAGTACAAATCAGTGCATCATAGAAGTAAGGGTAAATATTGAGTAGATTGTTTATTTATTTTTGAGACAGGGTCTTGCTCTGTCACCCAGGCTAGAGTGCAGTGGCACACTCATTGCTCACTGTAACCTCAAAGTCCTGAGCTCAAGCAATTCTCTCTGTCAGCCCCCTGAGTAGCTTGGACTAGAGGTGTGCATCACCACACACGCTTAATTTTTAAAAATTTTTTGTAGAGACAGAGTGTCACTGTGTTGCCCGGGCTTGGGTAAATATTTAGAAGGTTAAATATTCATGGAAATTTTCTTTGAGTTATACATGGATTTATATGTGTGCATTGGGTAAGGATATAAAATATATTTCTCACTGAAGATTGCCGTTAAAGTTTGAAACTACTTGTGTAGTCCAAACTCTCATTTCTCAGTGACTCAAAGACTTAGCACACCAAAGCAAACAAAAAACCACTCTATCAGAGTATGCTGTTTTGAAGGATGCGATTTAAACCTTCAGGCCTAAAAAAAAATAGTGTTGAAAAGCATTATCCTTAATTTAAGAGTTTGAATTTTGGCTCTACTGCTTACTACCTCCTAGGGTATTATTGGAGTGTTGGATTGTTTTATTAGTTGATATGTATAAAAATGTTTTAAGAATGATGCCTAGTAAACCTTGGGAAACTATTTATGGACATTGTTATGTAAAAGTGGTAGTACTCTTCATTTAGGTAGATTTGTGCAGTACACTAGGGGCATAGTAGGTGCTTATTTTTCATTTGATTCTTTAGAAAGTATCTCTTAGGTGCCAGTTAGCCATTTTCTGTTCTTTCTTTCTTTTTTTTTTTTTTTTGAGACAGGGTCTTCACTCTGTCATCCAGGCTAGAGTATAGTGGCATGATCACTTCTCACTACAGTCTCAGCCCCCTGGGCCCAAGGGTTCCTTCTAACTCAGTCTCCCAAGTAGCTGGGACCACAGACATGTACCACCAAGGCTGGCTAATAAAAACTGTGTGTTTTTGTAGAGACTGGGTCTCCCTACGTTGCCCGAGCTGGTCTTGAACTACTGCGCTCAAGCAATCCTCCTGCCTTGGTTCCCAAAGTCCTGGGACTGGAGGTGTGAGCCTTTGCATTATGCCACGTTGACCCTTTTTGTGTCATCATACACATTCCCTGTCTTCTTGGAGCTTGCAGTCTAAGATGCTGTCACTAGAATAACAACAGCCTTTCTCTTCTATGTACTTTTTATATTTGACTCTTTTCTTGGGAGCCATGAATGTTTTTGTCCCAGGGGAATAAATAATGTATAATGCATTTAAGCCTTGGATGCACAATAGGCATAATAAAGTATATTATAATAAAATATCATCTTAGGCACTTAAAAAATTCAGTGAGAAGGACTTACTGGGAGAAAGAAATTATAAAACATTTTCTTTTCTAATTCTTAAAATATGTTTTTGGCCTGAAAGAAACGAGTGTCAAAGTTGTTTTTAAGATTATTAGGTTGATTTCTCTTACAGTGAGTAGTTGGTATCAGCAAACTGATTTGCAATGAGAAAGATGATGTGCCTTTTGCTGAGCAGTGGTGGATAATGAGACTTCCACTTCAATAAGCCCATTGGCAATACCGAGTTGTAACCTGGGTGAATAGGAGTTAATCCTGGCTGGCTGGCAGAAGTAGATTTGTTATATAATTTATGATACCCAAAAGTCCTTTGGGTTGGTCTTTATTCTTATTATCATGACAGTATCCATCTAGGCCTGAAGATTAATTTTTGTTGTTCTCATCTAGTTCCACCAGAGTGATTCTCCTAACTGAAAGGGTAGTAACTTGTTAAATGCCTGCATTTGGCTTTTGCTTTGACACAAAGGTATGCTAATCAAGATTGGATGTTAGAAATCCAGAAATATTTCGGTGACTTATTAATAGTTTAGAGATTTTTTTTTCTCCTGTTAAACTCACTTCTGAAAAATGAGTCATATTCAGGGTTTCAAACATTTCCTCTTTGACCAGCCTCAAAAAAGGTTTATCAATGTTTCTGTCTTGTAGATTGCTGCTGTAATTCATTTGTGTCAGTCTTGCCACTGCTGAAGCAAACACAAGAGGGGTGTCAGTTTGGTTTTCCATCATTTGACACAAGCGAACTTCTTAATTCTGTCACTGGTGGACGATCACTGTTAAACCAGCCTGTACTATTTTTTATGACTCACTGAGAAGTCATGTGGTAGTGTGATACCCGGTCTCCAGCTACCAGTGTTTAAACTTGTAATTTTCAATATATTGTGTTAAAACAGACTTCTAATTCTGGCTATTTTTCTTTTCACTTTTAAGCCTAAAATTGGAAGCTCTGTTTTTATAAAACAGCTTCCTAGAAAAGTCACCGGTGTTGCTATTCTCTCTGTACCCCAAATATCATAACTGGGCCTGGGGGTGGGCAGAGTAAGAGCTGGCTGTTTCACATGGTTAAGCAGAATGTGTAGGCCTGCCAGCGGGCGGAGGTGGAATCTGCCCTTTGCTTTCTCAGCAAGTACCTCTGGCTTTGGGGGCCCGTTGAGGACTTTAGTTGTTGGCCTTTCTCGCCGTCATGTGAAACAAAGTTCATTGTCTCTGGTGGCTCTAAAGAGATGGAGGACCTTTACTGTCTGTGTCTCTTACCCTCTTTGACAAGGTATGTGCTTCAGCCCTCCAAGTTAAAAGTCACTCTGTCATCAAGCGAATGGTGGTATAACATCTCAAGAGGTGTAACACTGGCCATGAGTCCTTGTGTTTTAAGCAGTCGAATTCCTATTTAAAGCAAGCAGTATGCATTGTTCAAAAAATCTGCTGGCTGTTGCTCCTGCATCTCTAGACACCTTAAGTATGATGCCTTTATTTGTCGAGGTGGGGGAGGATGCATTTCAGACCAGCAGCCTGAGGCTTTTCACTGGTGTGTTCCCAATTGGTGAGCCCCTTGGTCTTCCTAGAGTGCAGTGCATGGCTGTGGCTTCAGTAAACCCTTGGACATAACACCCTGGCTGAAAAGAAAGGCAGAAGTGATTTCCATTAATGTGAATTTTTTCTAAGGTCCTGAGGTACAGGTCAAAAAGAGACATGACAGGTTGAACATCTCCCTATATCAGCTTCATATTCTAGCTTTTGCTGTATTTGAGGTGAAAATTAGCTTGTGAAGTGAGGAGAGATGGGACCGTGTACTGCTGGCTGAGAAGCTGTGTTTGTATCACATTATCTGAGAAACTCATAAGGTAAGGAATAATTGGAGTAATAATTGTCTCCTCTCTTTCCTCTCTGAAGGTAGAGGGTGCTTTGAGTGAGAGAGTCCAAGAAAAGATAGACCTTAAGAATCAGGGCTGGGCACAGTCCTCACACCCATAAACCCAGCGCTTTGGGAGACTGAAGTGGAAGGATTGCTTGAGTCTAGGAGTTCGAGACCAGCCTGGGCAACATAGCAAGACCCTGTCTGTACAAAAATAAAAATGAAAAAAGTAGCTGGGTGTGGTGCCATATGCCTGTAGTCCTAGCTGCTTTGGGACACTGAGGTGGGAGGATCGTTTAAGCCCAGAAGTTTGAAGTTAACAGTGAGCTATGATTGCACCACCGTACTCTGGGTAGGCAACAGAGCCAGATCCTGTCTCTAAAATGAAAAAATCAGCTCTTGAGAACTGAAATTGAGTTCTGCATCCTTAGGACTCAACTCCCTTTACGCTTTCCTGTTGAATGTTTGTTAACATCATCATATAATTTGAATTGGTTTAAATAGCTACCATTTATTGAGTACTAATTGTGTGTGAGAAAGTGCTAAATATCTCAGATTCAGCATTTATTCAATCACGAGTTCATACATTTAAAGCAATAAAGCCTTGTACAGAGCACGTGCTCAGTATCAGTGACTATTATTCCTTCTACAGATACTTATTAATGTGCCGTGTGCCACATAGCCTAGGTGCACAGGGTAAAGTGGCGAATAAGACAGATAAAACGACTGCTGTTAGAGGGAGCAGGCAATAAGTAAGTCAGCAGATTAGAATTTCACAGAGTTGTATGTGCCATGAAGAAGTAAAACAGTGTTGTGCTGAATTACAGGGAAGTGGCATTTGGATTGGTTGAACATGGAACACATATCAGCACATGAACTGAGATCCATCTCATATGAAGCAGCCATTTATTCTTCACAGTGACCTTTTTTCTTTTTTTTTTCATAGCAGAACTCAGTCTCATTTTTTTGTTAATTGATAAATAATGTATGTAGTTTTGGTACATGTGATAATTTGATACATTCATATTATGTGTAAAAATCAAATCAGGGTAATTGGGATATTATATCACTTTAAATATTTATCTTTTCTTTATGCCAGGATCATTTAAATTATACTCTTCTACCCTATTTTGAAATGTACATTAGATTATTGTTGACTGGAGTCACTGTACTGATTTTTCCAACACTAGGTCTTCTGTTTGTACCCACTAACCCACTTCTTTTCATCTCCCCCTCCCCTCCCCTTCCCTGCCTCTGGTAACCACCTAGAGAAGATAACCATCTCTCTCTTCCTGAGATCCACTTTTTTAGCTCACACATGAGTGAGAACATGTGCTATTTGTCTTTCTGTGCTTGGCTTATTTCACTTAACATAATGACCTCCAGTTCCATACATGTTGTTGCATATGACAGGGTTTCATTCTATTTTGTGACTGAATAATACTCCATTGTGTGTATGTACCACATTTTCTTTATCCATTCATCCATGGATGGGCACTCAGGTGGATTTCATATTTTGGCTATTGTGAATAAGTCTGCAATAAACATGGGAGGGCAGATCTCTCCAGTATATTGATTTTCTTTCCTTTGC